CAAGCAAAATACCCTACCGTTTGTCACCAGACATTATCATTTGTCTGCATGAATCTTATGTTCTTCAGGACATGAGCCAAAGGCAGTAACTGAGACAATGCTTTGGATCAGGGTGTTCTGGGTGGCACTTTCTTTGTTTGTTTAAAAGGTGCTTTTCATAGCTAAACAATGGGCAGCATCCATTGTTTGTTTCCAAATTTGAGTGCATCTCTATAGCTTTCAGCTCATCTCACTCAAGTCATTGGAATTATTCATGTGCCTTTATGGCTGTAGACTCAAGGCCTACAGTGTATTTTTGCTAAAATTTCACCACTTGCCCATCTGTGTTTTTTGCTGCACCTCTGAGTGTAGAGTCAAAGGTCTGAATATGTTTACTTTATTCAGTCAGCTAATTCTCCAGTTATGGCATTATTTCATTTCTTAATTTTATGCTTTTATAGCATGTTAAAATCTGAAAGAGATTGTACGTACACCTGAAAAGTGGTAATGTCACTTTTCATAGTTTTGCCCCACTGCATTCTTTCTTCTACACTTGTATTCCATGCTAGTTTAAGTAAGATAGAGCGTTAAAACTGGTCTTTAGATATTCTGAATGAAGACACCAACATAGAGGTGATCTCCCAAACCTTCAAGGGCCATGATGTACATAGTGAGGAAGAGGACAGCCTGACAAAAGAGGTTTTCCAATAAATTCTTACCATATCTTTGCTTCTTTGCTGTCTCTCAAGGAGGAAAGCATGGTCTTGAATATGAGGGGAAGCAACCCCCAAGCATCCAGACTGATATACCAGCACCTAAGAGATGTGAAGAGTCCTGAACTACTGGAGTCGCCACAGGACAGGAGACAACAGGCTGTTTGTGCCACTTTAAATGTTGTTGTGTAGTTGTTGAGTTAGGGAGTTTGTGTTGTGTTTAATGTAAATACTAAATCTTTTTTTTTTTTTTTTCCACTTTTCGGGGGATGCACAAGTCTTATTCCATTGATGCTCTTGGAGGATAAGGATCCACTGCTTCCTCGCTATTAGGGTGATGTTTTATGTTAAAACTTGCCACATAGTTTTTGATTCCACAACATAGCTCCTTAATTTCTCTTTGTCATTATTGAATTACCTCTTGGTAAATTAGAGCCAACGAAAACCCTTTGTTCTCATTACAAAATAAAAAGGAGAAAAAGAGAATATCCCACTGTGTAATATCTGGGTGATGACTGCAGAAAATATGGCCACTTCTTAAACAAAATGACAGCAATATCAGTCAATTCCTGCAATAAAACTGACTTATACGCATTGTGTACATTCCGAAAGAATGTACAAAATCCATCCGTGTGCAAAGCACAAATATTTGGCTTTAGCTGTATAAAAACAGGATTGAGGTTACTGTGATTCAAAAAATCACTCTGATTAAAAAGAAAAAAAAACAAAGTAGAGAAGATTAATTATGTGAATTCATGTAGCTTCTTTTCATAAACCTCATGAGCTTTTTTTCTTTCTGGTTTCACAGTTAATGAATGGCTTTGTTACTCTGCCTCAGTGACACTAGATGGCACTTCAGTGTAGTGATGGGATCAGACACTTTTGTAGTGCTTTCTACCTTGGTGTGTAGCTGCATGAAATTAATGCTATTCTCATACAGAAACGTAGTTCTTCAGCTTTCTGCTAATGTGTATATACAAATCTGAATTAAATAATACTATACATTTTTTAAAAAGTAGCAAATATAAATGGAAAGAGATTTCAACATCATGGTTCACCAGCAGGTCAGAAAAAGGCAGATCGTGAGCCAAAGAGCTCTTGCCAGATGCCATTTGGAAGACTTGAGCAGCAGTCTAAGGAAGGAACTGAGGAGGATGTATAGGCCTGGAAACCAGAGTAAAATAGTCTGCGTAGTATCTGGATTTAACTCTGGTGAACTAAGCGATGATCATTTCCTGAGAATCAAACAGAAATGATGTTGTTTATGCAAGAGCAATCAAGTTTATGATCTCTGTACATAACCTGGTGCACTTCAAGTGAAACCAGCCACCTCCCTCCTGGCTTTAGAATCAAGAATATATGAACAGTCTGATTTATTTGGAGCTTTTGTAGACAAGTTTTGAAAAACAGTGTTCTTCAAGAATATTTGGCTTTATTAACAGACACTGTACTTGATTCAGAGAAGCCTGAATCTGAGAGATATCATTAATGAAAAGAAAAAAGTGAGGACACTGCAAAAGCAAAATAAGTTTACAGTATTGCCTTCAAACTAAACTAGGCATTATAAAGGTTAAAAAGCAGTACTAATTTAAGATGTCATTTTCATTTTCAAGCTTAGTCAATTCAGGGAGAAAGTAGAAAGGGGTTCTTTTCTTTAGTTAAAAACTTCTTAAGGAAACTTTAATTGATACTGTAATAAAGTTTGTGTATGGAGGAAAAATTACACATTAGGATATCATAAAATAAAAGAAAATGTTGGCCTTAATTCTGAAAAGCTCTTTAGATGGGAGAAACTTAAGTCCAAACTTGAGCATATTCCTAAGGAGGGTGATGATTTACAGACATCGTTAACTAAAGATGGCAGAATTTGCCTCTGACATTGGACATTTCGACAGTTTTGACTCCACTTTTATTACTCTAGCTTCTTTATCACACAAAGGATGAAATTAAAATGATTATAATAAGTAAACCCATCTTCAAAAGCAAAGGCAAACAACAGCTATTATTCTAGTGTCGATTTTTAATGGTAACTTTGTATTTGGTGAAAGACTTAAGAAGCTTTTTAAGTCAGTTAAATCCTTCTCATGTTCTAGCAGCTGAGGATCTGTTGCCTTGTCTTCTTCTCATATATCTCGTTTCAACCAGCTTAAATTTGCAAATTATACGAATATGTCAAGAGACTCCTCAGTGACCCAGTTACAGGAAGGACAGAGATGCCTTAGGCTGCCTCAGGGAGACAAGGATTTTATTCTTTAATGAGTTTGATTCAAATCGTACAGGTTATTTTATGGTTGTTTACACTTTTCATACTTTATGGCAGGATTGGGGACGCACTGCTGGACCTAAAGGCTTCCTGCCCAATTGTGTTTCTGCCTTTTTTTTTTTTTTTCTTTAAGTGGAAGCACCATCTGTTCTGTATTTATATGAAAAGCAGTTTTAGAAGTATTGGGCTTTCAACTGCTTTGAAGTCTTCACAGATGCTGTGTCTGAAATACTGTGTGTGGGGTTGGGCTGACTTAGGAGAGGGTCCAATCAGGCAGACACTATAGGTATGACTTCACAGTGCGTAAAAAACTGAGTGGGATTTTACACTTTTTGTCATGAATTTGTTCTGGTCTCATACGATAGGATATCTTTACTCAATTTTATTGTACAGAGCTGGGAAACAGGAAAGTCCCAGTATGTCTGCAGCCCTTACCTGTTAACAGGGTTATTTTATGAGGAATAGGTTGTGTTTTAACACAAAGGCAGGAGTGCTTGGTATACCATGGGTATTACATAGCCAGAGAAAGACAAGGCCAGGACATTTATTCTGGACTTAATGTTGATTCTGGTTTGAAGGAAAAACCTTATTTTGCAGAGATTCTAAATCCTTGTAGGGGTTGTATGTATACTTATATGGCCTTTTATTTTTTGTACTAATTCATTTTTATTATTTGCTAGATAAATCTCTTCTTATATAATTTGCATCTGTTAATTTGAATTATATGCATATGAACTATGAACTATATGCATATGAACATATATGAGCCTTTCTGGCTAAGAAAATGCCTCTCTCCTCTATTGAGTGCAGTGCATAGCTCTCTGCATGACCTCTCCAGGTGAATAATATCAGATATCCAAGCAAGAATGAAAAGAAAAAAAAGTTCTGAGGATTTTGTTTTTGTGATTTTTTTTCCTCCAGTGACAAAAGGATGTCATGTACTGCTAGTCTTATTTAAAAATAAAAGCCCCAACATGAGAAAGCCAGAAAAAAAATCAGATGTAAATAGGAGGAACTCACTGATGACATCAAATAAGGATTCAATGATAATCCTTCCCTATTGTATCATTATACAGTGATTTACTATCACTTCCAACTATTTACTGCCTAAAAAGATGAAAACTATAAAGCAAATATATTTATTTTATTAAAGGAAATCTATGACTGTTAATACAGAGACATGATTTTTCTCTTTTTTTTTTTTCCAAGGGAAGAGAACTTTCACATAACTTGTTCTTATTTTAAACATTTATATGCCAAATATATTCCTTTTTTTTCTGGACTTAATCATAATTAAAGTTCTCACACACTATATTATGCTATTAAAACAGAAAATAAAGACAAACACTGGAGTTTGCCTGTATTACAGTATTCTTTAATATAAATGACATACAAGTTTTACAAATTAGAGAGATTGACTTTGGAGAATTAAGAGGCTGCAGAAGACTATTTTAATGAGACACTTGGTCTGAGCATATATTTAACTTTGTAAGTTGACAGTAGAAATATGCAGCCTACCTTTGATGTGCTTGCTACCCATTGTATGGGTTGAAGAACCCTGATTTGCAGAGGGCTTTCAAATCATGCTGAGAAGATACCTCTGTGAATGATGTCCAAGCAACTTTCAGGTAGGCCTGGTAGTTATTTCACCTCATATTTCACTATAGCTATTCTTTGTTTTATAATCTAAATCCCACAAATTCTTCAGATGGGGAACCTGCACATCTCTACTTGGCAATTAGAAACATAGTTTAAACACAGTAACACAGTAAGAAATACAGACCAATGTACACTGCAGAGCAAGTGAATGATGAACTTGACATATACACGGACTGGTGGCTGAACCCTGATACCTTACTCTGCAACGTAGTCTCACTGAAATTAGTGAAACTGCCCATGTGATTAAGGTGAGAGGGATAGTGAGATCCAGACATAGGTTAAATGTTTTGCACTGCAAACTATTCTTTATTTTGTTCAATAGGATTATGTTAGCCTAATTCTGAACAGCATTGCTCAAGAAGAATGGCAAACTTAAAAGAAGCATGTGTACAATATGAATTTATTTTATTTTTCCCAAAATAATGACATTAGCAACAACTTTTATTTGCCTCTGCTAAATAGATACATTCAGAATTAGCTTAGTGTTATAGTGGATATTTTAAAACCTCCAGGGCTTGAAGTAAGTTTAAAGGGGCTTACTCTCCCCAAGAATAAAAAATAGATTGAGAGTCATCTTTTTTCCTTTACCATGTCTTTTTTTTGTGTGTGTGTGACTATAAAAATACCCTCAATTGCTATCTTTTTTTTTCATATATATCATAGCTTGACAAATATTTACTCCGAATCTCATATACAGTGGAACCTGTAGCATTCAGCAAATTGATAAACACCACAGAAAGCATGCTGGAAAAGAAAGCTGAAATAAATCAGATTAAAGCACAGTCAACAATTCTTTTTGGTGGTATGCTTGATCTTGTACATCTGTAATGATTTGTTTCTTTTACATCAATGGATCATCTCCACTTTACAATGAAGTTTCTGGTATTTGGCTTTAATTGTTAGCAAAATTTTTCAAACAACAGGCCTATTACAACTGGTACATTAACTGAAATGCAACCGAACCCTGTCTTTAGAAATCTATTTGTAATTTCCAATCTGTACCGCAGAGCGTTCATGGATACACCGGAAAGCAGAAGGCTGGATTTCCCAGTATTGCACAGGGTTGCTAAAAAGACTCACGCCAGAGTAGGTAGCCTTTTTGGTGTTGTAGCCGAGAGGGCAAAAGTCGTTGATACCAACCGAAGCAATTTTGTTGTTATGAAGATAGACTACCTGGAAGGCATAGAAGTGTGTAAGTGAACAATAGTGCTGAACAGTGTAAAGGACATAAATGATTTGACATTAGATAGTTGGCAAGGATTGTACGGTACCATGTAGAGTAACAATATATCAGTTTTCTCAAAGGTATGCTTTATTCTGCTTACATTTTGAACTATGGAGATTATACCCATTTTGAAATACTTTCTAGATAAAAAAAAACACAGAGGAAAGTAGAAATTGCGCAAGGGAACTTAGTAGTATTATTGATTGTACGATATGATCGTTCCATAACTGAAACAAGAGTCGCAGATGTGAAAATATTAATATAGTGCTGTGATTCATCAGCATGTGATATATACAAAGGATCTATTTGGTTTCTCTCAAAATCTAGTGCTTTCAATCACTAATAATAATTTAAATTAGCTGATGGATATTATGTTGCTCCAGAGTTGCCACTTCTGATGAATTTTCTATGCTATGTGCAAGTGGTGATTTATATTTGGGAGTCTTCATTCTTCAGGAGCTTTCTTCCCAGTAAAATCTTACACCCAGTGAGAACAGATTGTAATGGATTCCAAGTGAACCATATTTCCAGCTATTCAGTCACGTACATAGACTTTAAAAATACTGCTGGTGTGAAACACATTTGCCTCCCTTTGCCTCCCTAAACAAATAACTTTGCGGAATACCAAGGAGAATGTTCTTGGGAAAGGTTGAAAAATGCCAATGAGTAGTGCTAAAGCAATTGCAAGTGAAGAAGTGTTCTTAGAAAGAATGTTTCCTGAGCAAAGAGGGAATAAAAATGCAGAAATAATTTCATATTTGTTGTACACCTACACACAGAGATACAAATGCACACCTACACACACATAAATCATATACAGTAGGAGTCCTCTTGTTGTTTTCAACTTTTCAATGCACATTCAGTGGTTTATAAAGCTTAGTTCAGCTTGCCTTTTACACAAATACTGTGTACATTGTTCAAAATTGAATATCCAGAGAAATATCATTCAGAATCTTTCAAATATTGTCCTGCGAGGCAGTTTGACAAACCTTACCTGGATATATTTATGGTCACCCAGCCCACCAGGTACTCTGGGAAGTTCGTTGTTATTTAAATGAAGCTCTCTCAGGTGAGGTACGTTGTTAAGGGAGCCATTTTCAACTGAAGAAATACTATTGAAGCTAAGACCCAATCTGAGAGACAAAACAAAACAAAACAAACTATGTTAAAGCAGATGATGATCATAGTTCACAGAGTGTTTTCTACACTACTGTTATATTATAGACAAGGCTGATTGATTTGCAGAATTATTCATGAGGTTATGTAAGTTTGACATCTGCGGTGAACTATCATAATTAACACCGCAACATTCAATTCATGCTCATGGCACTTCATTCTTTTATATTTCAATGACTACTGTCACTGTAAGATATAGCACGTACCTCGGGAGGTACTAAACTTTCTTTAAAAGACAAATAAAATTTCTTACATGGCAGTAGGAATAACTTTCTTTGTCCAACTGCTTGATCCATGGCCACAGAACTGTTAATTTTACATCTTCACCACAATCTTCTTAGATACCAATATGTTTATAGCTATTTTACAGACTGAGAGCTACAACTGAGTCATACATAACGTTTGGCTCAGCGAAACACAGGAAGGAAAATATACACATTTCTCCTGGGTTCAAGCACCCTAATCAGAAAATCCTTCTTCCTGCTTTAGACATGTTCATTCTGGGGTTATTGGAACAATTGATATCCAACTTATAAAATGTGGTCCTACCTGTATATTTCTGTGCTGACTATTAGGATTTGCACTCCACAAACTATTGAATCTTTTCAAGACTAGCTCATGACATAAGTTAAATATTCCGTGTTGTAGTGAGGAATTCAATAGTTTTACTGCAGGAGTTGTGAGCAGAAGTGTAGTCCTTTGAGAAACTATTTCTATAAAGGCTAAAGCTACTTCATCTATTTTATTTTATTTTATTTTATTTTATTTTATTTTATTTTATTTTATTTTATTTTATTTTATTTTAGCAATCATGTTTAATTTCCAGGGAAGAAAAATGCTCTGACATTTATTAATTACTAAATCAAGTAAAGAATTTGACAAAGGTAATCAGAATCTTGATGATATCATAACTTGCTATGGAGTAATACTTTTAGAGAAAGTCTGATTCACAATAATCTACCACTTGTAGTCCTCTGTGCCATTTTCAGAAGACATACTGTAGACCTAGTATAACATCACAGTGCTAAAAAGGCCTATTTGGATTTTGTGGCATAGATGTCTCAATAAATACGTCACAAGCACATTTTATGTATTTTCTTTAAAAAATAAATAAAATTCCTTTAAAAAATAAATAAGTACATATCCTTAATAACTACTATTACATAACACAAAGTCAAAATCCTACTTCTTTAAACACTGAAATGTTGTTAAACCAGCAAAGGACAAATAAGAGCTTAATGAGATCTCCTGCTGACATCAGTAGGGTTTTACCTCACTCACAAATGCATTTTGCATTATCTCATATCCTTACTAAAAATTGCTCATGGAACAATTTTTATGACTCTCATTTAAAAGCTATTAGAATAAAATCCTTTTGAGTACAGTCCATCAAGATTTAGTAAAGCTTGGGGAATTTGATCCTACATGTGCAATTTGGTCTGGAGAAACACAGAATTCCTACAAATAACTTGTGTCCTCATAGTGGGTGTTTTTAGAAAGATTGGAAATAAACATTTTGTCAGATGATTGTGTAAATTCTTGGTGGACATTTATGAGAAAATATATTCAGTAGATATTCATGTCTATAAGCAGATGTGTCACACCTAAGGAGAAGAGCATGAGAAAAGCAGATTTGGCTTTGATATTGGTCTGCTGAGATGAAAGTGAACACCTTTCACACTGTAAAGATGGACAAGATCCAAATCTGGAATAGCTC